GCTCGCGTTACTTGGTGCGTCAGAACTCTCGAAAGATTCCACGCAGGATCCTCAAATGCTGTATACAACATCGTATCAGGTGACGAATCATGAATATACGCGTACGAACCCGAAACTAAAAACAGTCACGAGTTTGGGTGTTCGAAAATGAGTTAAAGCCAACAAAAATTGTTCGTGCACGGAGTGAAAAAAAATGGTGGCCACGTTTGTCTCCAAAACCGGACATGTTACGACTATTCCTCTTGAGGGACAAAGAACGGTTAATGCAGAATGGTATGCTAGCATTTGTTCGCCACAGGCCGTTTCTGAACTCCGTAAAGAGAACTGCAACTGCCGCATCATCCTCCATCACGCCAATGCGAGTTCTCACACCGCACACAGAACAAAAAGAGTTTTTAGAGCAAGAAAACATAGAATTATTAGAACATCTGCCGTACAGCCCCGACCTAAGCCCTAATGATTTCTATACTTTCCCTAAAATAAAGAATAAATTGCGTGGACAGAGATTTTCATCACCTGAAGAAGCTGTGGACGCCCACAAAACGGCCATTTTGGAGACCCCAACTTCCGAATGGAATGGTTGCTTCAATGATTGGTTCCATCGTATGGAAAAATTTATCAAATTTCGCGGAGACTACTTCGAAAAGCAATAAATACATTTTTAAATAGTAATGTTGTGTCACTTCCTTGATTCCCTGAAATTTTCAGTGCCGCCCCGTACAATAAAATACATGTAAATAATCCCCACTTCCAGCTCTCTGCAAGGGACACACGGAGCGGAAAAATGTCTATGAATAAAATATCAATTACATTTAAATTTTACGACGTATTCGCAACGCTAGTTGTGTACCCTCAATATATAAAATCTGATTTATTTGAACTCCAGCTGTAAAAATAGAGAATATATACATACATACAAAATTCATACTTTTTTGTAAGAATACAGTAGAATAAGAGCATACAGTCGACCTAATGGTAAGTGGATGCTGTGGTCCATAATATATTTCTACATTTGTCGTCTATTAGAAATGAAAATGAAGATTTATTTTATTTATTTATTTATTTACATCCAACTTATATCTAACATTACAGGTTTCTACCCACTGCGATAGATAAAGCACTATTTACAATCCTAAATTACCTATATTACTACATTAACTTATAGCTAATTATCCATAAAGCAAGTTTTGTGAATTCGTTCAGAGTACAAAAGAATAAATCTGTATCTCTGTCGATCAGGTTTAATGATCGAATCGCTCGCGTCAAGGGTGCCTCTCGCAGTAAGTTAGTGCGACATCTAGGGACGGTCAGTAGGTCTTGCTGACGCCGCCGCCATATATACCTAGCCGGAACACAAATATTAATCTTCTTCAACATATTCTCATTAATAATCCTACCCCCATGAACCATAAAAATATATGAAACTAGTCTTAGTTCTCTCCTTACCCTGAGCTGATTGTATCCCACCATACCCAGAACAAGTAATGGGATATTGCAGTGGGTAAAAAGGGTACACCCCATATAACTTAAGATAAAAATACCTTAAAATTTGTTTTGTAATTTCTCCAGCATCAGATCCTACTTCTTCTCATGAGGAGCCCAAATTATTGAATTACACTCCAAATGACTCCGAACTAGCGTGTTGTACAAAGCTATAATAGCTTGCACATTTGTGAAACCGTTAACTGTACGTAACGTAAAACCTAGAGTTCTAAAAGCCTTTTTACATGTTTCAACAATATGATCAATATGTTAAATCAACAGAAAATATTACTCCTAAATCCCTGACTTGCATTACCCTAGACATAGGTGTCTTGTCAATGTAATATGTATACTCTATGGGCTTATGTTTGCGCGTGAAAGATATTGTTAAGCATTTAGCGATATTAAATTGTAATTTGTTATCTTTGCTCAATTCAACAACTCTATTTACGAGTATATCGTCTTGGAGACTGTCACGGTCCTCCAAACTACCTATATCCATCGATAAGTTAAGGTCGTCTGCAAATAACAACGATTAAAATGCGTTGTCACGCTTGAGAACTTAGATGGAATGCCTCGTAACCCGTAAAAAGGGTTTTCGGTTCTCTACACTCACCATACGAAACACATCAGCATTAATAACTACTATTTTACGCCGGTATTCCGTGAGAGGGTGGTCCTTCCCCGGTCGAGCCGATCCATTCATGCTACAACTATACTATAGTCAACCAAATGTAAGAAATACATTTTGACAGCTGTCAGACTTATTGCACCAAGCAAACAAAAAATGGGAACGTAGAATATTCGATTCTTAAAAAAAATCGATATCGATTATTTAGAGTTGGTAATCATTTACAGTTTGGTTTGAATAATAACAAAATAAATTAAAAAGGGATAAATTAAATAACAAGATTTATCAGTTTCTTCGTATTTGTTGTCAGTGCTTATTTCTACAGGCAAAGTTATAAAAATTTAAGATTGGAACCAGACTAAAAATATATTCATTCAAACACTTTCAGGACAACTAGATTTTTTTGAGTTTTCTACCACTTTTGCCCAATCATTATGTGTGACATGAGCACATGCTTCAACAGATATAGAAGAAACAGTCCAAAAAGTTTAAACCGAGTCACAAAATAAGAAGACAAAAAAAAAAGTAAAATCACAAAATTACACACAGTAAGCCCCCCGAAATGGCGGGAGATTAAAATTATGTAGTGGTTTTTTTTAGCGCGGCCTTGTATATGAGTTTTTTTGCCTACAGAAGTTTACGTCGAATTTAAAAAAATAAACTTGTTTTATTCATGATTCATGTAAAATAAGGAATTTTAAAAATAAAAAAATAATTAAACAAATAATACATTAAAAAATAATGGTATTCGATTATTTCAATATTTTTACCGATTATTTGAATATTTTTGCTGATTATTCGCATAACAATGAATTTTAATCATCCAAACACTACGGTAACTTCGGCAGTGTGGCTGTGAAGGATAGTTTATTAAGTAATACACCAATGACAAAAAAACTACTAATTAATATTTTTTATCATAATTAAATCTCATTTCTCAGGGCAAGGTGCTCGTCGTTAGTCTCATAGTACGCGAGCAACTCGAGTTCGATTTTCGTCGACAATGAAATAGTTAATTGCAATTTATTAATCTGAGGAAACAAAGTGTTTTTAAGACATGTAAAGTCAACACCCACTGGGGCAACACGGCGTTCTAATTCTAAAGCAAAAGTGAAAAAAGTTTATTTAATTATACATGTACACAATATACAATGATGTGTTATTTACCAATTTATGGACTGTTGTCGGAAATAAAGTTTTATTATTATTATTTTGGGGTATCTATATAGTTTTCTCATCTGGTTGGGTTCTATAAATATTTAATTATAAATGAAAATGAAATGATAAATATACATAAATATCAATAAAATAAAATAAAATAAATACAAAAAAAATACGTAAATAAATAAAAGTCCAACCAGATGAAAGCCCTCAGCAGGGGAGACCAAACTGCCGAGGTTTAGGGGGAAAGGGAAAGAAACCGGCGGACGATGCGGGCGGTATCGAGGAGCACTGCCTTCTGCATTAGAGCCGGGAGCGGTCCGTCACGGAGTCCCTGTCGCCTCAGATGACCCGACAGGCTGACCGACATTAGCCCATTAGCAGAGATAAATACAGGAATAATTGCGGCTGGCAGACCATCCCATATGTCATTATTATTATTAATACTAACCGTGTAGTGGCGGTGTAAGAATATCCACTGCCCCATATCGTGCCGTGGGTGTCGTGAGAGGCGGCAGATGGAGACTGAAGCAGAACACGGACAGCATGTTCCTGATGACAACAATAAAAATACTAACCGTGTAGTGGCGGTGTAAGAATATCCACTGCCCCATATCGTACCGTGGGTGTCGTGAGAGGCGGCAGAGGAGACTGAAACAGAACACGGACAGCATGTTCCTGATGACAACAAAAAACTGCGGTTGCTAGTGCACCAACCGTGGCAACTTGGGCTTGGGAAATCCGTTTTTAGGGTAATCTATGGGGGGTGGGGTGGGGCGAGCAGGTCTATGTTCAGCTGTAGACTTTTGATAGACTGTTATAATTTAAGGAATAAATAAAACGATTGATTCATAAAGAAATTAAGCGAGGGATGCTGGGAGGGATGCCGCTGCACACATGTTAATTGTAAGGACGCAAGGCGATAGATATTAATAGATTTGCTGTGTCTTTATTCTGCTCCGTTATAACTTTTGTTCTTTATTTGTAGTGTCTGAAATATAGACTCGGATAAATTACCATTTACAGGATATAATCGAATAGGATATGTTTTTTTTAAAAATATAGATTACAATAATACTTATTAGAAGTCATTTGAGATTTTACCACTGGTTCGGAAAAGTTGTGGGAAGAACCAGCAATACTTTTTTTTAAATATCAATTAACTTAATATGTTATATTACAAAATAAATTATGAAAAAGTCTAGAAACATCACGGTGGCGATCATCTCATTCCCAGGGGTTACTATCAATAAAATACCCATGTTTTTTTCTTATTTATTAGTTTATTACATAATATCTTAATTTACTTACTTATTTTAAATAATATATTTAGTTGATGGTTTATACTTAACAAATTGTGCGTACTACATATGTCATACTCATTGATTGATCGTCCGTTTTTAGGGTTCCGTAACCAAAAAAGTTACCAACGGGACCCCACTACTAAGCCTCCACTGTCCATCCGTCGGTGCGTACGTCCGTCTGGCTGTATCTCACGATCCGCAGTAGGTAGACAGTTGAAATTTTACCACAGAATGTGTATTTCTGTTGCCACTATAACAACAAAAATAATAATAAAAATAAATTAATAATTGCATGGGGCTCTCCTACTAACAACGTGTTTAACGATGGTACGGAATCCTTCATGCGCAAGTCCGACTCGCACTCAGTCGGTTATTCAAAAACGCTCTCGTCACTTGCTCGCAAGTAACCGTCGCGAACTCATCTATGATTTTGCTGCGCCACCACGTGGCTTTACTAACGACTGGTTCCTATCCAGTGGGCGGTTGCTTCCAATAGTGCCACCCTTATTTAACAATTTTGCTGCGCCACCACGTGACTTTACTAACGACTGGTTCCTATCCAGTGGGCGGTTGCTTCCAATAGTGCCACACTTATTTAACAATTTTACTGCGCCACCACGTGGCTTTACTAACGACTGGTTCCTATCCAGTGGGCGGTTGCTTCCAATAGTGCCACACTTATTTAACAATTTTGCTGCGCCACCACGTGGCTTTACTAACGACTGGTTCCTATCCAGTGGGCGGTTGCTTCCAATAGTGCCACACTTATTTAAAAATATTGCTGCGCCACCACGTGACTTTACTAACGACTGGTTCCTATCCAGTGGGCGGTTGCTTCCAATAGTGCCACACTTATTTAACAATTTTACTGCGCCACCACGTGGCTTTACTAACGACTGGTTCCTATCCAGTGGGCGGTTGCTTCCAATAGTGCCACCCTTATTTAACAATTTTGCTGCGCCACTACGTGGCTTTACTAACGACTGGTTCCTATCCAGTGGGCGTTTGCTTGCAATAGTGCCACCCTTATTTAACAATTTTGCTGCGCCACCACGTGGCTTTACTAACGACTGGTTCCTATCCAGTGGGCGGTTGCTTCCAATAGTGCCACACTTATTTAACAATTTTACTGCGCCACCACGTGGCTTTACTAACGACTGGTTCCTATCCAGTGGGCGGTTGCTTCCAATAGTGCCACCCTTATTTAACAATTTTGCTGCGCCACTACGTGGCTTTACTAACGACTGGTTCCTATCCAGTGGGCGTTTGCTTGCAATAGTGCCACCCTTATTTAACAATTTTGCTGCGCCACCACGTGGCTTTACTAACGACTGGTTCCTATCCGGTGGGCGGTTGCTTCCAATAGTGCCACACTTATTTAACAATTTTGCTGCGCCACCACGTGGCTTTACTAACGACTGGTTCCTATCCAGTGGGCGTTTGCTTGCAATAGTGCCACCCTTATTTAACAATTTTGCTGCGCCACCACGTGGCTTTACTAACGACTGGTTCCTATCCAGTGGGCGGTTGCTTCCAATAGTGCCACCCTTATTTAACAATTTTGCTGCGCCACCACGTGACTTTACTAACGACTGGTTCCTATTCAGTGGGCGGTTGCTTCCAATAGTGCCACCCTTATTTAACAATTTTGCTGCGCCACCACGTGACTTTACTAACGACTGGTTCCTATCCAGTGGGCGGTTGCTTCCAATAGTGCCACCCTTATTTAACAATTTTGCTGCGCCACCACGTGTCTTTACTAACGACTGGTTCCTATCCAGTGGGCGGTTGCTTCCAATAGTGCCACACTTATTTAACAATTTCGCTGCGCCACCACGTGGCTTTACTAACGACTGGTTCCTATCCAGTGGGCGGTTGCTTCCAATAGCGTCACCCTTATTTAACAATTTTCGCTGAATAAAAATTTAATACGTTTTAAAAGATAGGTACATCGTGCAAGTGTATTACCGACTGTTTGCAGTTTGGATTAACTAGTATTACTAGTTTGTGCTTGTCCTTAATATTTACAGGTTTTTTTTTTTATAAAAAATATCTTTTGTTTCAGTTTTAATTAAATTAACATGCCTACCCATACAATATTTTATATTATTTTTAAATAAAACAAATTCAATACTAAAACAAAAAAAAATTGTAAAACAACGCTGAATTTTACGGATATTTATGAGTATCATCATGCCACCCAGTTCAAGTTTTATTGAAGTCCTAACACTAATTGATTTCTCTATCAAAATGATTGTTCTAGGCAGTATGAGTCTGTAAATCTGTTTTACTTCATTTTAGTTATTTTAGTTAAACTAAAGAGGAAAAGAATTGCATCTAGAGGTTCGGCCCAACACTCAAATTGATGTAACAAAATGGATTAACTATTTTATACGACTGTACTTCATCACACGTCTTGTTATGATAGGGCGGCTGCTTGACCGCAGATAAGTGCGAAATGAACAGCGTGGGTGGAACTCAAGCGTCAAGGGAGTGTTTCAATAAAGACTAGAAGCAGTCACAAGGAGTTTTGGGCTATTTTATTAAGTTCTATCGTATGTAGCCATTTTTTTATTTGTTTCTGTAGTGACAACTTACGTAAAAAATGTGAAATGGTGAGGTAACAATTTAAAACTAATTTTTACAAGTTTGTGAAGCACAGTCCGAGTACGACTGACAGTTTTTTAACGCTACAGCCCCACACTAGGATTTTTTCATACAGAATTTTCACAAGGACAATTATTTGTATACATATAGTTGTTTCGCGCGTGATTCGAACCCGCGGTCCTTAGCACCGTAACTCATTGTCAGGCCACTACGCCACTGAGCCGTCAGTTCATACAGAAATAAACTTATATTTTAACATTTTAGTTATACAATTTTTCTTGTTTTAAAAATTTAATAAAATCACACTACTTAATGTTTAATAATTTAAGGTGTTCAAACTTAAATCTTAAGGTAAGTTGCCCCGTGGCGCAGTGACTTAGCGATGAGTCGCGGCGGTGAGGGTCGCGGGTTCAAATCCCGCATGGAATAAGTAATTGTATGGGCTACGAATAGTTGTTTTAGGTATGGATGTTTATCGTTGTGCAATTTATGTATGTAAGCTGCCTCCACGATACAGGGAAAAATCCTAGTGTGTGTGTAACATTATCATTTAGAAGAAGAATAATAAAATATAAACTGACTGTTGGCAGGTCCGCCACTAGGTTGAGTGACGAACTAAGTTAGCTGAATCAATTGCCTAGAACCTTGTATTGTGTTAATCTTGTAATCACGATATAGCTGCTGCGTGACTCTACCACGTATGATTACCTCCTTGTTAGATGTCCAACTACCATTTTATCCACACAAACCTATCTGCGAATTAGCTGAGTGCACTGCGTGGGTTCTGGTTTTCCTTTAGCAATTTTTCTCTTATAACATTGCTCTCTTGACATATTCATCCTTAAACAACATGATTAATTAGATATAAGACATTATTTTACCGTATGTTGGCAGCATAAGAGGGTCTCATCCCATGGATGTCGTAGGAGCTGACTAAAGAAATTTTCCGATAGATTTCGTGGGCTCTGCATAAGTGACGAATGCAGCATCTAAGACTAAGCTAACCAAATGTAGCGATTACTGTAACCTTTCCTTACTAGGTATGCAAAAATCCAAAGTACAACAGTGGTCTCTTTAAAGACCTACGAGGACAACTTTAATCATGAAACAAGAACATTTTTAAATGACTTTTGCATCTTCAGCGCAGTTGTTAAGACAACCGCCGCGGGCAACGTGTTCTAATTGGATAAGTGGGTCTACGCTAGAGGAGCCGAGCACGAGCTGGGCACAAGCCAACAGCTCTACTTGCGGTGTTGAGTGTGGACGTACAACGAGCCTACAACATGCAAATCGATGTATGCGATGCAAATCCCTTAGTGTTCGTCAAAAAACCGACAATAAGCGGAGCACAGTCGAGCATGAACCAAACGCTCGAAGCGCGCTCGTGCGAGGCTTGTAAGTCGGTCCACACTACATGAATTTGTGCTCGACACATGCTCCGCTCGTGCACGTCTCGTATAGCGTAGACCCATGCCAAGAGTTTGAATTCCGTACGGATCAAGTATTTTTATGACCTAAGATTATGTCTTAAACCACCTCCACGTTGCAGTTGCAGGTGAAGTTCCTATGATAATAGGTAAAGTAAATTTGCTGGGCACAAGCCTCCTCTCATTTCTAAGAGGGTTTTAGGGCTAAAAAAGCGTCCGCCGCGCTGCCTTTGAACGCATTGGCGTTTGACAGATTTCACATGCTTTCGAGTTTTTTTATGTCTCACTCATGCAGGTTTCCTCACGGTCTTTTCCTTTAGCGCTAAGCACATGGTATATCAGCACTTAAAATTGCAATTAATAATTTCATTGATGCCAGCGGGGATTGGACCCGGGTTGCCAGCGTACTGTAAAATATAATTTCATAATATGTCTTGATTAAGACCTTCGTAGCTCATTTAGCTCATATTACTGCATTATACACATAAACGAGATATTAAGAGTGAACACTCAACAGTACTGCACGTTGGGTCCCAGCCTGGCAGACATCACTAATTGACCTGTAGCGGCCCGTTTTGTAATTTTTTTGCTCCTCTCAAACCAGATGCCTTAAATTTCAGATGTTCACTTTGAACAGCGAATTCAAAGAGTATTATTTGTGTGGATAATGCATTTAAGAGTTAAAAATATTTATATAGTAGTTATTAAATAAAATATCATAATTATAATACTATATTTTCGCGCCGCTTTGCTTGCGTGCATTTAGTCTCTATAAACTGTTAAAGAAAGTGAAATCAACTACACAAGAACAAAAATTATATAATCATCGAAAGTTGTTGATATGCGGAAGATAAAAAAAAGCATTACATAGATTTTGGTCGTGTATCGTGGATGCGGTTTACATACATAAATTGCACAAGGATAAACATCCAGACCCAGAATAATTATTTGTATGTCATAAAATTATATGTTCGGAACGAGCCCGCGCATTTCAGCGCCTAACTTAATTCTAAGCCGGTCTGTCCCGGAACTTTTTCTTACGTGTGGTGAAGATGCCATTGCAAATACAAGAATTTGAATATTGTCGCTGGATTCCATCATTGAAGCATAATCTCGTAGAGATATTTATATGGGCAAGCACTAGGGTACCCCCTTTCCAACAAAAAAAAAATTGAAATCGGACAACTTGGTAAAAAATTATCACTGCACACAAAAATTAGGTTACCTATATACCAAACTAGTAGAAGCTGTTATAATGTTTATACTCAGCAGTCATCAAGTCAGTAGTCATAGGTCAATTCCGCAGATCCCTAGTAACGTCTTGTCCATTTTTAATCGAGCGCCCGTGGGCGAGCGCGACACATTGTGAGGGGGGTGGTTTTCACGAATACTAAAACTAACATCTAGATATGTAAGCGGATATGCAAACTTCGAGAAAATGTTTGGTTTATAACGTAATTTTATGTGTTACAAAATTAAAAAGATAGTAATATTTTATACCCTATTATGAATTTTCTTTTATTAACTGTAATTAACAATTTTACACTATCTAACCATTGCTATTATTAGGCGTATCAATATAAGGTTACATATGTTAATATTAATAATTAATTAATTACTATCATAAAATGTAATAATAATATATTAAATCATGGTTATGACACTGCACATCACAGATAAATCCTATTGAACTGTATGTGCGCAAGTAATTAAAAAGAAATATGTACTTAGCATATTCTTTTTTTATATATGTATGTAATTTTTTTATTACTAACCAGTAATATTTTCACAAACGAAATTATCTCTTATTACATTCACGAACACAAATCAATTTGTAGCAACTTGATTTAATAATCGCCTTCTTTCCTTGCTCGACCTTGAATTAGGAAAATCGAAACCACTTAGTGACGCCTATTGTTCTACATTTTCATTCGTTAGGTTAATTTTGTTAATTTTTTTATTAAATTAATTAATTAAAAATTGCGATCATTTTTAAATGTTTTACTAAATTTTAGAACATTTGTACATAGCAGCCTATCAAGGTCACTGATGGACAAAGGCCTCCCCATAGATTGCCACATAAGGGGCACTTGTTCTACAGCTGCCACGCTTGCCAGGTGGGCTTGCAACAGTTTTTTCAAGTTGTAGCATGACGTTGCCACCCACCTCCTGGTTTGTTTCCCTACGACACCCACGGGACGATATGGGGTAGGTTTGGAATTATTTACACCGATATTATTTTTTATTAATTTATTTAAACTTACCAACTAAGTACATATGAAACTTTTTAGCTATATTTACTTATAACCTTATAACACTATTGTTGGCGATGCGAGATAAACATCTCATTAATTCTTTAAATATTTCTTAAAGAATTTGAGGACTAATTAATTTTTATTAAATGCTAATTTCTGAGTAAAGAAAGGTTATTTATAGTAGCTTAGATTCATGCTTTACATGGTAATCGGCTATGTAATACTATATAAATAAAGAATTAAGAACGTTCTATTCGTTTTTTTGCACTTTTTATTGTTTTATGTATGAAGTCTTTTAAAATTTTAATCACCCATAAGTCATACCAATGTGTTAGATAAAGACAGTTTAATGCTAGTGTGAAATGGTGTATATGTAAGACAAAGATAAGTATAAATCCAGAGGATTGTGCAAATTTAGAGTTTGCCAACTTATATAGGTATATTATTATTATTTAATAGGTAATTAGCAGAAAGAAAAAAGCAAGTCCTAACCGTATCATGAGAATATTAATTAAATATTATTTTTATAATCAAAGTTTTAAAAATGTTTAAAAGCAAATTTTTAACATTTTATCTAACTTTTGTGTTAAAGTAAGAAGATAGAAATGTCAATGACATACAATTTTAATAATAAAAATAGCGAAATAATGGGAATATTAAATAATACATTAAATATGTAATTTTGCTTCAAGTTTTGTTTAAAAATCTGTTTAAAGTTTTTATTCAATAATTGAATAAAAATATTTATGGAAATTGTATTATAAAACTGTATTTAATATTTTAAGGTTTGTGACCATAAGAAATTATTTATAGGGTAACTATATTATGCTTTATATTTTATTAATGCCTTTATATAATGTGAATGTTTAATTGTTTTATGATTTGTTTAAATTTGTAATTTTTCTGAAATATAGTTGTTTTTTGTTATTATTTCGAGGTATAAAATAAGATGCAATATATGGAAATGTGATAGTGAAAATCATCGATACAGTAGGGGGTTTTCGCGGCTAATTCTCCTTAAGGTTTAGTTTTAGTAAGTCGCTTAATTATCGATTCATTCGGGACCAGCTATAGTTTCCAGTTATAAACTTATAAATCAAGGAAGAAAACAAAATTAGGAAGAAAACAGTAAAAGTAGTGAAACTTCAGTATCACATTTCCAAGGGGCAGTTACGAATAATGCTGCTTTATTTCACCGGTGTGTACCTTATAAGCAGGGAAACAGATACATAGAATACAGTCCACTAAGTTCATGACTGACGTCTGGACCAGGACCATTCACTGGAGCCCGTAATCTTAGTCGTCAACCACTTTTTTTAAGAAACGGACTTGTCGCACGGAGTGGAACGTCTAGGTTCACGCTCACTGGGTTGCTTCGAACCCAGCGTAGTGGTGTAGGTTGTCCCTGATAGGAGATGCAAGAACAGTATCTCATAAGTCCGTTGTGGTAGGACTTCGCGGCCGGACGAAGAAACTAGCCGAAGGAAGAGGCGCGGACAACGTCTCCCTTTTTTGGTTGTTATGAACCAAGTCTTTTTACTAAATATATGTACTTAAATTAAAGGTGAGTACAACACTTAGATTAATGCAATTATTTTATTTAAAAACGAAAAATGAAATGGAGTGTAAGATTTAAGTAAAAAGAGCAAATATTTAAATAAAACGGTAAAATAAAGTTATATTAAATACAGTTATTTAATTTTTATTACCATTTAGAATGAATGTTTGTGTCTTGTAACTCGATATCCTTATCTATATATACTTGAAACTGACTAACAGTGTCTGAAAAGATATCTATATTATGTATGTTTGCCTTTTTTAAAAGTCGATTATATTTGGATACAGCAAGTAATATTGGGCTATTCATTCCTTCATATCATCATAATTTTTCCTTCTTCTTGGCACAAATAATTAGGCATACGTATGCAGCCGAGTCGATGGCTTAGGCTTTCCAACTAGAGAAAGTAATTCAGGGCAGTCAATGGCACCGTTGAGAATCAATCAATCATCCAAAAGAAGCTTGTAAAGAATGGTCTTTCTGCTGATGTAAAGCTGCGTAAAGGCTCCGCGCGGCAAACCATCGAACATTGGCTCGCGCGGCAGCCGCGCGCAATGGATACTGTGTTGCCGCGCGCGGCAATTCGAACCAATCCGTGTCGGTTTTTGACGGCGCGGCAAAGGAATCTCAGCGAGTTGTGCGCGCAGCTGGAACGGTCGCTTACGTATTTAGGTTAGCGCGCGCGAGAAAAACATGGATAGACAAGTATCTTACTTTAATTAGATTGTTATGGTACTAAACAATTTCTATGGAACAGTAACCGTAGTGAGTATAACAACAAATCATTAAGAAAAGATGCTTGCAATGAAATCAGTGCAGAAATGGGCTTGCCCGTTGCACTTCGTCGTCATACACCGTCCATGGTTGCCGAGCACAAAATAAACGTTCGTTGGCGGATCGACTGCCGCGCGCGTCTGCCTCGCTGTAGTTAAACTGTGCGCTACAATGGAGAAGATAACCATTTTTTGTTTTATACGCCAAAAAATTTTACAAAAAATTACGAGAATAACTGTGTTTTGTAATTTTTTTCCATCTTCAAAACTGACCGAGATATAAAGGCGCAAAGTTAACATTTTCGGTTTAAGCCGCGGGCCGAGAGCGACATCGTTGATGACGTCACGATTTCCATCTTCGTGAGAGCGACCCGACGCGCACTTAGAAAATCAAAACATTTACTTAAAAATGTGCCCGTCGCGCGCGGATCTACTTGCTATCTATTTTTAACAAGAAACATTATAGAACATTACACCATCTATTAAATATTGTGCTGTGCCTCAATGTAAAAATACGGCCACAAAAACACCTGCAAAATTGTTTTTTAATGTGCCTAGAAATCCTACCATCAGAAAAAAATGGACAAGTGCTATGAGAAGAGCACGTCCTTTAGGACCAAACACGGTAGCATATTGTGAGGATCATTTGGATGTAAGTATTCAAATAATAATAACCTTCACATGATAAGCAAGTATATAAGTGAGTATATAAGCAAGTATATAAACAAGTAGTAATTATATAAGCATGTATATAAGCAAGTAAATAAGCAAGTATATAAGCAAGTACATAAGCAAGTATATAAGCAAGTATATAAGCAAGTAAATAAGCAAGTATATAACCAAGTAAATAAGCAAGTTAATTAGCAGGTATATAAGCAAGTATATAAGCAAGTAAAAAAATAAGCAAGTATATAAGTAGGTATATAAGCAAATGTAAAAGCATGTATATAAGCAAGTAAATAAGCAAGTAAATAAGCAAGTATATAAGCAAGTATATAAGCAAGTAAATAAACAAGTATATAAGTAAGTATATGAGCAAGTACATAAGCAAGTAAATAAGCAAGTATATGAGCAAGTATATAAGTAAGTATATGTACAACTATATAAGCAAGTATATAAGCAAGTATATAAGCAAGTATATAAGTAAGTACATAAGTAAGTATATAAGCAAGTATATAAGCAATAAATAAGCAAGTATATAATCAAGTAAATAAGCAAGTTATTAAGCAGGTATATAAGCCAGTATATAAGCAAGTTTATATGCAAGTATATAAGTAATTATATAAGCAAGTATATAAGTAAATGTATGAGGAAGTATATAAGTAAGTATATAAGCAAGTAGTAGTAGTATATAAGCAGGTATATAAGCAAGTAAATAACAAAGTATATAAGCAAGTAAATAAGCAAGTATATAAGCAAGTATATAAGTAATTAAATGAGCAATTATATAAGCAAGTATATAAGCAAGTATATAAGCAAGTATATAAGCATGTATATAAGCAAGTATATAAGCAAGGATATAAGCAAGTATAAAAAAGCAAGTATAAAAAGCAAGTAAATAAGCAAAATACAAGCAAGTATATAAGCATGTATATAGGTCAGTATATAAGTAAGCAAGTATATAAGTAATTATTTAAGCAAGTATAAAACCAAGTATGTGAGCAAGTATATGAGCAAGTATATAAGTAAGTATATGAGCAAGTATATAAGCAAGTATATAAGCAAGTAAATAAGCAGGTATATGAGCAAGTATATAAGTAAGTATATAAACAACTATATAAGCAAGTATATAAGCAAGTAAATAAGCAAGTATATAAGCAAGTACATTAGCAAGTATATAAGCAAGTATATAAGCAATAAATAAGCAAGTATATAATCAAGTAAATAAGCAAGTTATTAAGCAAGTATATAAGCAAGTATATAAGCAAGTATATATGCAAGTATATAAACAATTATATAAGCAAGTATATA